TCAAGAACTGAATTGAGTGCAAGGTTAGAGATAACTTGCACAATTCAGTWGGTGATCAATTCAGATTTGAATTGATGCCTTAGAAGTGTTTGAAGAAATGCATGCATGGGGATTAGATTCTTGCTAGAGATAGAAGAACTGTCACTCGTGCATAGGATGAACATGTGCTTGAGAGAGGCTGTTCATGACCTTAGGGTTTCACCAAACCAAGGCTCAATCATGATTTATTCAAATGATCCAAATTAATAGATTGCTGAATTTTGAGATTGAAATTTACTGCTTACCCTTCTAAACTGATTTGAAGGCAATTGGGCCAATATTTTAGATAGATTTTAGTTTATAATTTTTAGTTTTCATTAAAATTTTGATTTATTGATCAGATAAGAAGTGTCCAATTTAGTATTGGTAATTGTTTCCTAAATCCTCGTGGGAACGATACTTCACTCACTACTATATTACTTGAACGGCTAGTGCATTTGCTAGTGTCACAATGAGCCACATATCACTGGATAAGGACACAAGAGATACACTCCAATCGTGGGCGGAGCTCGGCTTCGACTACAAGGACTTCATTGCCGAGAAGAAACTCATTGAGGCTGGTCTGAGTCCCAGTAGGTCGCTTTGTCTTAGAGTTAGTATTTTTCTCTTTGGTAGTCATTATTTTCTTCTTAGTAGCACCACTGATGTCGAACTCTGTTGCAGGTCCTATGGAGCGTCTTAGTGCCGAAAAGCTTTTCAGAAAAATGAAGGGGCGAAAGAAGCAAGCTGCTAAGAGAGCTCGTATTGAATCTTCGTGGGCTGCTACTCCTGAGCCCGCGCAGCCCGCTCAAGTTCCTCTGGTGATTAACTTGGAGGAGTCGGAGATCCCTCCTCCTCGAGAGCCCGAAACCACTGCGGAGCCTGCTACTGTGGAGCCCGCTCCCGAGATGACTGTTACCTTGTCTGGGAGCGGAGAGGCAACCCGGAGTGTCCTGAACCCCAAGTACAGCCTCCGAAAGAGCAAGGGGGCTATCTATGCCGAGGAGGTCTCTAACTGGGCCGAGCTAACGCCTGCTCAGCTCGGAGCTCGGGCAGCTACTCATTCCATGGTGGTAAGTCTCGTTACACTTTAATTTTTTGCGATTTGTTGCCTTACTGGTGCTAACTGGAATTCTTTTGGTAAGTGAACTCCGTCGTCCACGCTCTCACTCTCCAATCCGATAGGAACTTGAAGCGAGCTCTAGCTGCTGAAGACTCTGCTCGCGAAGCTCATACCGATCTGAAGCTAGCTCGCAGTCAGATCCACCGTCTGGAGAGCGATGCTATCGCTTAGAAAAATTATATTCAAAAGTTGATGTCGGAGAAGGAGGAGTTGCAGCGCGTAAAGGAGGGGCTTCTACATGAGAAGGAGGAGTTTTTGCGTGAGAAGGAAGAGTTGCTGCTTAAGGTGAAGAACCTTGAGTCGGACAAGGAGGCCCTGGACAGCCAAGTAGAGAACCTGGAGGCTGATGTCAAGGAATGGACTGATATCCTCATTGGTGCCCTGGAGGAGGCCAAGGTCAAAGCCATCTAGGACTACGTCAAGTCAGAGGAGTTCGACTCGGTGATGGTGGAGGCCTACCGCAAAGGCTTCAAACTCAGCAGGTGGCTGATCAAACGTGAGTTCCCGCAGCTTGAGGTGAGCGTGATCACCACCTCACGGATCACTGGAGATGTAGCCCGCGAAGCCGCCGAAGACCCGGACTCAGAGGAGGAGGGCGAAGACGTTGAAGAGGCTACCACCACCGACCAGGTCGGCACTCCTGCAGATACTCCGAGCAAGAAGGATGAACCCCTTGCGTAGTTCTAAAAGTTTGTATTTTAAGCCTGCGAGCTCAGTTTTTCTTCTCTTTCTTCTTTTGTACCGAACTCCATGTAATGATGTGTATTTTGTAATGAAAGATACTTTTTTTTGCTAAGTGTTTGTGCAATTTACCTTTTTGTTGAAGTGATTGACTTACCCCGAGCTGTCAAGCTATCGAGCTAAATTCCCAAAGTGGGGATTTCTCACTGCTGTCACCCCGAACTGTCTCCCAGTACTTAGTAGGGGAGATCTTATTAGGTACACCGAGGTGAGTGACATAGTAGGGTATATGCCCGACCTGTCTGCACCTGGGTTAAGTGGGTGTCGGTTTTCCTCGCCGAGTTCAACCTGTTATACACCAGGGCGGGCTATGCATCCTAGGGTTTGTACCCGAGCTGCCTGCGCCTTGGGCGTTAGAAATACTTAGCCTATGCCGTTGATGCAACTAGGCCTTATGTAGTGTCGAGGTCTTTCATTAGCTCGGTGCTTTAGCCCTTAGGCTGGGGGAGCGACTTGTAGTCCACTCCAGGAGTTCACCCATGCCGAAGAGGCGACTGGGTTTTATAGTGCCGAGGTCTTTCTTTACCTCGGCGTTTGAGCCCTTAGGCTGGGGGAGTGACTTGTAGTCCACTCAGTTCGGTAATTATAGGTAATATTGTTTTAATTTGACAATATTCCATGCTTGAGGTACATGTTTCCCTTCTAGGGTTTCGAGCTCATACGTTCCTTCCCCGAGTACCCGCTTTACTCGGTAGGGTCCTTCCCAATTTGGGACGAGCTTACCAACACCGGGCTCAGGTACCATAACTTTGCGAAGGACCAAGTCTTCGACGCGGAGGTTCCGCTTCTTGACCCTGGCATTATAGTACTGAGCCACTCTCTGCTAGTAGGCCGCGGTCCTAATGTATGCAAGATCCCGTACCTCGTCAAGTAGGTCAAGGTTGGTGCATAGCTCGTCCTTTTTTGCTTTGTCATCAGATGCTTCATGGCGTAGCGTGGGGACCTCGATTTCGGCAGGGATCACTGCCTCGGTGCCGTAAGTGAGGTTGAAGGGGGTCTCGCCTGTTGTGGTCTTCACTGTGGTTCGGTAAGCCCTTAGTACATTGGGCAGCTCGTCGACCCACAGTCCCTTAGCTCGGCCCAGGCGTGCCTTCAATCCGTGGAGAATGGCTCTGTTTGTGACTTCCGCTTGGTCGTTCGCTTGAGGGTGCGCTACCGAGGTAAAATTTTGTTGTATACCCATACCTTTGCACTAGTTCTAGAACCTAATGTCCTCAAACTGCTTGCCGTTGTTGGAGACGAGTACTTGTTGTAACCCGAAATGGCACACTATACTCTTCCAGAAGAAGTTCTGCACGTTTCGTGCTGTGATCATCGTGAGAGGTTCAGCCTCTACCCACTTAGTGAAATAATCAACTACTACCACTAAAAACCTCATTTGTCCTGTTGCTGGTGGAAGTGGTTCGAGTATATCAATCCCCCACTGTGCGAAGGGCCACGGGCTGGTGAGGTACTTTAGGTCGGCGGTAGGCTGGTGGTGGATGTTGGCGTGCTTTTGACACTTATTGAACTTTCTAACGAGTTTGATTGCATCTGCCTTCATCGTTAGCCAGTAATACCCCTGTTGTAGTGCTTTCTGGGCGAGAGCCATGCCCCCCAACTGTCCACCGCACAGGCCCTCATGAGTGTCATGGAGTACGAGCTCGACCTCGGAAGGTCGCAAGCATCGCAACTGTCCACCGCACAGGCCCTCTTTGGTACAACCGTTTGTCTATCATGACATAATTGGCTGCCTGACGCTCTACCCTTCTAGTAGCATTACGATCTGCAAGGAGGGTCCCGTGTAGCAGGTAGCTCGTGAGCGGATCAATCTAGCTCGGCTCTGCTTGTATGACAGGACCGACCTCCTCTTCCCCCCCAAGAATGCTAGGCCGAGGCAAGTTCTCTTTGTACATGGTTCTGATGGTATTATCACTTGTGCTGGCTAACCGGGATAGGGCATTGGCCTCAACATTCTCGGATCTCGTGATTTGCATGATGAAGTGGGACTGGAAGTTGAGCAGAGCCTCTCTAACTTTGGCTAAGTAGGCGACCATGGTTGGTTCGCGAGCTTCATATTCGCCTGTGACTTGGTTGACCACAAGCTGGGAGTCACTGCAGATGACGATATGCTTGGCTCTCACTTCATTTGCTAGGGCCAGCACTGCTATTAATGCCTCGTACTTTGCTTCATTGTTGGACGCAACGAACTCAAAGTGTAGCGCATACTCCAGTTTCACACCGCTAGGCCCTATAAAACGATTCCAACCCTGCTACCCTGCTGATTTGACGAGCCATCAATGTGAAGGATCCAGGGCTCCTCATCCCAGTTTGGGTTCGATCTAATTAGGAGAGAAGCCGCACTGGTTGTTCCCTCTTGGTGCTCGGGCACATCCGGCCTGGGGACTTCAGTGCTGAAAGTGCATTCTGCGACAAAGTCAACCAAGGCTTGGGCCTTGATAGTAGTTCGCGGTTTGTAATGGAGGTCGTATTCGCTGAGTTCGGTGGCCCACTTCGTCAACCTACTGGAGACCTTGGGCTTGAGCAAGACTTGCCGCAGAGGCTTATTGGTAAGGACGACAATTGTATGAGCTTGGAAGTACGGGCGGAGCTTCCGAGCTGCAATAACAAGAGCGTACGCCAACTTCTCGATCTCCAGATACCTCGTCTCTGCCCCCTGCAACACTTTGCTAACATAGTAGATAGGTTGTTGGACCCGATCTACTTCTTTTATTAGTACCGAGCTGACCACCTCGTCACTTGCGGATAGGTACAGCTCCAAAACATCACCCTCCTCGGGTTGGGTTAAAACTGGGATACTGGCGAGGTACCATTTGAGCTCGTTGAAAAAGAGCTGGCACTCATCAATCCATTCAAAGTCTTTGCTTTTAATAGACTTAAAGAAGGGCAGACAACGATCTTCCAATCTGGACATGAAGCGGCTCAGAGCAGCTACGCGACCATTCAGCCTCTGAACCTCCTTCGATTTCCGGGGTGGTCTCATATCTAAGATAGCCTTAATTTTATCCGGGTTTGCCTCAATGCCACGCCGGTTAACGATGTACCCTAGGAATTTACCTGAGGTGACACCGAAAACACATTTGTTCGGGTTTAATTTCATGTTAAATTTACGCAAGATTTCAAAGACAGAATGTAAATCTTTTATTAAGTCACTTGAAAACTGAGTTTTGATGACCATGTCGTGTACATAGCATTCTACTTTCTTGCCGATCAACGGCTCAAACACTTTGTTTACAAGTCTTTGAAAAGTGGCCTTGGCATTCTTCAGCCCAAAGGGCAAGACCTTGTAACAGTACAGGCCTAGCTCAGTTATGAAGGTTGCTTTCTCTTCATCGGTAGGGTCCATTCTGATCTGGTTGTAGCCCGAATAGGCTTCCAAGAAGCTCAACAACTCATGCCCTGAGGCCGCATTCACCAAATGGTCGATCTTGGGGAGTGGGAAGCAGTCCTTTGGGCAAGCTCGGTTCAGGTTGGTATAATCGACGCACATGCGCCATTTACCGTTAGCCTTTTTTACCAAAACGGGGTTGGCTACCTAGCTCGGGTAATGGACTTCCATTATAAAATTGGCTGCGAGGAGCTTCCCGACCTCCTCATCAATTGCTCTCCAGCGCTCTGGGGCTAGGTTGTGTTTCTTCTGTCTAACAGGCCTAATAGTTGAGATCGTAGAGGCTCCTCGACTGAAGCGCCGATCTGGAGGGTCCGAGCTGGGTCCTCTGTTGAAGTTGGCACGGGAACAGTTTCTTCGGTAGGCGCAGCTCGTTCTTCGCAAGGCTCCGTAGGTCGCTCCAGCTCGAGGTCTTCCGCCACCTTGGCTTTTCCTTTGAGAGCGGAAACGTAGCATTTACGAGACTCGAGTTGATCGCCTCGCACTACCCCAACTCCGAAGTCCGTGGAGAACTTCATCGCCAAATAATAGGTGGAGACCACCACACGCAGAGCATGGGTGATGGGCCGACCTATTATGACGTTGTACAGGGAGGGAGTTGCGACCACCAAAAAGTTGTGGTTGAGCCTCACTATGCTAGGCCAGGTGCCAACCTCCACAGGTACAGTGATTCTTCCTAAGGGCCTGACTTTCTCTCCGTTCAAGCCCACCAAGGGAGTACTCGCGGGCTTGAGGTTGCTCTCTTGGAGCTGAAGCTTGTCGAACGCAGCTTTGAAGAGAATGTTTGCTGAGCTGCCGGAGTCGATGAGGACGCGCCTTACCTCTTCACGATGAGCATGTCATCATGGGGGTAGTGGACCCCGCGCACGTCATCTTTAGTGAAAAGGATCGGTTCTTCTACCCTTGGTCGCTTCGGGGGGTTTTGCTCTTCCCTTCCGATCTCCCAAGCCGAGGTCTGAGCCACGGCCGAGGTGCAACCCGCGACAATCGATCCTCCTGTGATCATGTATATGGTCCCCCGAACTAGCCTCTCTTCGGGAGGCTGCCTTTGTGGCTGCTCACCTGGTCTGCTACTGGACTTGGGAGCATCTCTAACTTACTCCCCTTGCCGACCTGTTTTGTTGTCATTTTGTACAAAATTTCTTAAATATCCGCGATTGATGAGCTCCTCTATCTCATCGCAGAGGTTCTTACAACTTTCGGTGCTATGGCCGTGATCTTTATGAAAATTACAATACAAATTTTTATTTCTAACACTCAGGTCCCCTCTCAGCCGAGGCGGCCACTTCACATACGGGGCGTCCTTGATCGCCATGAGGATCTCGGCCCGCTTTGCGTTCAGAGGTGTATAGTCCATCCTTTCTGCTTGGGGAGCTCGGAAAGGCAGACCTGGCCTTCCTCCCCGAGCTGGGTCTTTCTTCTTCTTGCTGTCTCTATGAGTTGAGGACTCAGCTTCCCTTTTCCTCTTTTCAGGCACATTTTCATTCTTCTGGTTAATCTCCTCATCTGTCCCTATGAACTGGTCTGCGAGCTTGAGGAACTCGATTA